TTCTATAATTGAGCACATTAAACACATATCAACCTGTGCATGTGTGTGTGTGTATTTCCAGTAAAAGGAATAGCTAGTTGCCCTTATCATAACCACAAAATTGAAAGTTAACCAAGCTACTGCACAAGTAAGAACATTACAGCATCCACAGAGGCTTCAGCTGGCCCTCTGAAATAGCTGATAGAGCCATCAATGAGCCTTCTGTATCCTTGTTCTGGAGCAATCAAATGTGGCTGATAGCCATCAGCCTCTGTGACAACTTTTTGGACATTTTTTAATGAAAGGTGACGATCAAAGGGGAGCTTCTTCAAAGCAGCTGGCAACTGGTTGTCAAAAACTCCATATATACGATCACCACCAGGTCTCCTGAAGCAGCAACGTAGTGTTTAACTAAATAGAATTTTAGGGGGGAAATCTAATACTAAAGCAATGGCATAGTTAACCACATTCATAGCAAACATACTTTAGAACAATAGGCAAATAATGTCATAAATCTTATAGTACTTTCTACAAAAGTATACTAATTTAAGTTGACTGTGTCTAGCAGATTTCCATATAAAAGCCAACCAGCAACACAGACTGGTACTTGGGTCAACAGCCATATTGGAAAGACTTTCTAATTCTTAAGACAAGCATGCCAAATAGTCACTGAAGCTTTATAAAATTGAATAATATATTTCCTTTATTTGCAAGTCTTACAATCACAAGACACTTCTCATTATGTGAATGTACTATGGAGGAATTAGGTCTCAAAACTTAAGTAGGTGTACTTAGTAAGTAGAAATTTTAAGTATGAATATGAATGCATAAGCTGACAAAATAAATAAATCAAAATAGAACCAGCATAGGAGTTTCGTTGCTGAGATACTAGAAAAGCTGAAAAAGATAATGCACTTTACCCTCCATCCAGGTGCTCCTTGAAGATACGATCAAATGCACGACAAAGTTCTAAAATCATGTACAACTGGGCCTGTACATACATTTAATATAATTAAAGTGAACTAGACTGTGGAAGTATCCCATTCACAACTAAGCAAACTGGTTTCTGAATGGTCTAAATTGTTACCCCTCCATCCGCTGCAATAGGCCTGCCAATGCGGTCCAACTCTGCGTTAAGCTCATCAATGGTCTTATTTATCAAAGCAATGATGCTGGGTATACGCTGCCTGATAACAAGCTCTAAATGCTGAAACAGAAAAAATAAATAAATAAAAGATGAGGACTCATACAGGGACATGTCCAAAGCTTTTGTGGGTTATCTATATTAAAATTAACAAAAGCAACCAACAAAAAAAGATGAAAAAGACCTTAGACAATAGTTTTGCAAGATACTCTGATCCCATTTTACTAGCCAAGTGTCCATAATCAGGGCTCGTTTCAAAATATTCACGCTCTTTTCGACGAGCGACAATCATATCAACATTCTTGTTGATGTCAGCTTGGGAACGATTCACAATTCCAACCCAAGGATGTTGTAGCCTATACGCCCTTCCTTCAAGAACCTGAAAGATGTATATGGGGTAAGTATAATGTTTATTTGTTAAGGATTTAAGATCTATATTGAAATCTAACTGATGTGAAATCTTACAATCTAACGCACCAATGCTGCACAAGAAAGAAATATATACCACATGTGAAAAGAAAAATAAAACCCTTAAAGAAATCACTTCAAAAAGAACATGATAGGCAACAAGCAGATTTGACACAAAGCAATGATGTGGCATTGGCATGTAAAATTTCATGTCAGGATAATTTTTCCTAAAACTGCTATCTACATATAACATTTTCGGCATATATTATGCATGCATTCTTGAATGAGCAACTGATGAACTAAGTATGATTGAATCCATACATCCGCAGCATTTGTTCCCTTATCCATCAGATCAAGTTTCGTTAGCACACCAAAAGTTCTTTCACCTGAATACACCAAATAATATAAAAATGTTAATCTCCTTGCTCATCAGACAAAATTTTTATTGCGTAGCAACATTTTAAAAGACAAGAGTCTACAAGCATAAAGCCCATTTTTAAAATACCTGTTGGATCTACTTCTCTTGCAAGTTTTATGGCATCTGAAGTGGCAATATCTTGATTAGCAGGAGAAATAGCCAGTATGATGCAGTTAGGCTACAAAATTTGAGAATTTCAAGGGCAAACTGAGTAAGAAACATAACAATGGTACAAGCTATTAGGGCCAAAAGAAATTTAGATGAAAAACAGCTATGGTATATAGATTAAATTCAAAACTGATTCACAGGCAATGAAGTTTTTAACCTAGTAAGTAGCTAATAAAGAAGTAAACTAGATGGAAAGTGAAAAATGAATCCAGGCCTGCAGCTAAACTAGAACCTTGATTTCCCATTCGCCACACTTCCTCTTAAAAGACTTAGATGAAGCTCATGACACTTTAGAGATGTAGCAGAAAACTTAAGGGGAATGGAGATGAGATTGATAAAAAATCAAAGATATTTGTCGTAATGGACAGATTCTGTACTCATGCCAGTAAAGAATTAGGAAATTCAATTCCAATTATCATCATTCTTCCACCAAGTGCATAGGAGAAACCTAATTATACATACTTCAAAAACTTCATACATTGATTTGACTAGTACCTTAACTAAATAATTAACACATCACCTGTAACGAGACCACAATTTGAAAAGATAATTGTATACTTAACTTGAAGTGAAATTGCAACTTTTTTGTTTATTCTAATCTGATCTTTCTTAGGTAAATAATACATAACTGGAAACCAGTTTTCTATGACAGTTTTGGCCTAAATGGTAGGGTGACCTTGAGATCATCATTGCTAGTACAACTTGTGATCCAAGAAAAGTAAGACAGCACCACATGTGAGCATATCAATGGCATAATTGAGAGCCCAATTTTTGCAATTTGTATAGGCACAATTAAATGAATGGTTTAAAGAGATACCGGGCCTCATATAACAACAATTAGCGCTGGTTAATCTGTTGGAAGGGACAATGTCCCCACTTCAGAAGGGAGGAAGGGAAGGGAAGGCAGGGGCAAGGCCCCAAGTTGAAACTATAAATCACATATTAGGGTCTCAGTACACCGTCTTCCACCAAACAAGGAAGAAAAGAAATGAAAAACCAAATCAAAGACAATCAACTAAAAAATGTTTTTTTCCTTGTTTATGGCCCAGCTGTTCCACAAACAGAAGCTAAAAAAGAAGCTACAAGATGCAAACTTGAATCAATCAAATTCACCACACATCTCTAAATCCATTCTTCTAATAAACAAAGAAAACCCCATGTTGCATCAAATAGATCTGCTCCACCTGATGGACTATTTTCTCATGACATGGTAAAAGTTGTGACCCACCAGGTATGAATGCATAGGCTTAACTCACTGCAATAACCACATTATGAAAAAGACATTAAAGGAAAAATTTTTGCAGGAATCATCCCCTTCAAAAACCCCGGTTAGGAAAGATAACCATTATGCATTGATCATTCTGCATCTCTAACTTCTGGGTCTTGCGTTAAATCGCTCATTAGCCATAAGTAAACTGACCAAGAAATGGCTTCGCCTCTGAAAGCATCACAGAAATGAAATGAGAGGAAATTTGTTCCCATCGTCTCATTATGAGCTTTCAAAACTTAGGACCTTGACACTGGCAATAAATTTCTCAACACTCAGGATTCAAGGATTACTAGGTTGAAAAGATTATTCACTATGACTAGCAAATTGCAATTAATGAGTCAAACCTATACAATGATCCATAACCAGATGTAACCAAGTTAAGATTTTATGTTCATTCTGAAGCTCCTCTTTATCACTTCCTTTTACAAGTTCCAAAACCTTCTTTACATTCAAAGGTGCTACCTAAGTGATTTCTTGGGGAAAAAGTTGGATATCTACGGGTTTGAGCAAAGCAAACTGTTGGTTGGGGTAGTATTTTCATGAAACTAATGCTAGCTAATGAACCTTGAGATGTTGTATCCTTCTAAAGCATTATTCTGAATCAAAATATACACTTAAAAACATTTTCTTAAAATATGGAGTAATCAATAAGGTTAATTTGTTTTCAAACTTTTAACTCAAGGGACCTCTACTTTTTTTAATCTTGAGATGCCATCCTGCAAAGATAAGGTTCCAAAAAAATTTAAACAAAGTCTTAAAGTAGAAGTAACCACAATAACTGCAAGATATCACTTTGACTTGAAATGCTCCTAAAAATTTTTGCCAAATGGTGTTGTTCTCCATCGTAAGTGTCTGGTTTAATGGCTTTATGTTCAGGTTGAGCTTTTTCACCTCTTACCAATGGGTCTCAGGTTGGATTCTTAACATGTTGTCAAAGCACAAGGTTGTTTGTTGGCTAGCTTGTTATGTTATTTGTTCTTTATTGTTAGTTTTCCAGCAACTTTTTGCCCAGTGGTTAGCCCATTTATTTTAGCTGTTAGTATCAAGCCTAAATGTGAGGGAAAGTGTTAGTTGTACCACATTCATTAAGTTCAAGGTTTCTTGTAGCCTTTATATTCAGGTTGTGCCGCCCAACCTGTTGCTGATTAGTTTTAGCTCAGGAGCTTAATATGGTATCAGAGGCCAAGCTTATTTTTTGTTTTTTTATTTTGTTTATTGACCAAATTTGTTGTCCATGTGATAGGCCCATCTGTTTCAATTGTTAGTATCTGTCCTATACATGTGGGAAGTGTTAAGTGCTATTATCCTACATTGATGAACTATCTACCTGTTGTCAATTAGTTTTATGTAGGATGAATAGCATGCGTGTTATCATCTGAACCTCAATTTTGAAGAACTAGCCTTGGTTGGCACCATGTCAAGAAAATTTGAAGGAACTTTCACAAAAATTATACTTTTAGAACAAATTGAATTACTTTTTCAAGTATTGAGGCAAACTCGTGATTGTAAAGACTCAAGCTTAGTAAGTAAATGGCTCCTATTATCCACAGATAGACTTAAATAATGAAAATTTGTGGAGTGAAAACATTGTAATCCGAGAATATCAGACATAGAAACAACCATATTTTCTTTAAGGATGATTTATTTAGCAAAGTGGCTATTTATGATGCATGAACAGAAGATTGACTAATATTGGATTAGATAGCGGCATGAGAATGTTTATTTTTAAAGACTTTCATGATTGCACTGCAGAAGACATACATATAATGCTGAACCGTTAAATTAACGAGAATTTATAATTAACACTGTGTATGAAATGCAGAAGCCTAGTCCAGTTTAATAATCATCTATTGTATCATTGTGCATTAGTTCCTAGTTAACACATATTCAGTTCTTTCAATCTATCCAGTATTATTGGAGACAAGTAATTCAATTACGATCCATTTTTTCATTGTAGGGTGGACTCAATCATCTTTTCCTCTCAAAATGGGCCCTAAAATGAACCACAGTGATTAATTGTTTCCTAAATTTACGTTCTACTTTACTTGTTCATTGAAAGAATACCTTATGTCTGAGACATATACATTTAGTATTAAACAGCATTTATCACCCATGAAGAATTCAGAAAGTCAAGTAATCTCACCTTTTCAACATAAGAACGAACCATATTTTCAATATCTTCGACTATACTCTCTGGCTGTCCTTCTGCAAAAGCCATAGTTACATCCTTCACGATTAAGGATTCTGTGTTGTGTGCTTAAAAGGGAGATAAAATTTAAATTGCTTTAGGTTGTTTGAGAAAAAACAATTGTAATTACCTACAGCAACCTTTGTCAACCCAGGAAGATCTATAAGTGTTAAGTTGACAACTGCCAAATAAAACCAAACATATTAGTCCTACAAAATTGAACCAATAAACACCCTAAAAGCTTAGCCAAATAGATGTAATGAATGTGAAAAGGAAATGACTACTTTAGCACAGGGGAAATTGAGGAAACAAGAATTAGGTATTAAAGTAACAACAACACTCCATTAAAAACCAAGCATAATGCACCGATAGATGCTATCACATTATACATGCAGTAAAGCCACATATGAGTTTTAGGCTGAGAGAGTATCCCCACAGACCCCATTACCCAATATCCCTTGAAGAAATTCCTGCTGGAAGCATGTCTACATGAAATCTAAAGCAACGCACTTTTATGCTGTTAACAGGTAATGCTTCTCATGATGAGGTCCAACAGAGTATATAATGAAGCTACAATCGCTAAAGAGAGTGATATTTATGAAAGTAAAGTCATGACTCAGAAATGCGTTTCATTCTGTATGCCATATCTATATCAAGGGGGTAAAAAGTCAAATGGCATTTGGCATTTAATCCTTGAAAACTTGGCGTTCCAAAGGAACAAAAAAATATTCTCCAATTTCTTTTCAAACAGGTGAGGTTCAGTATTTGAGCATGATATGTGAGCTCTTTCAAAATGTGGTTAATTTTCCATTATTTTTACTTTCCTCAAATAAACAATTTGTCTGTGCAATATTTAGAAGAGAGAGAGATGTCATTATACAAACAGGATGGGGAGAGTATAATCATAATTTCCGCAAATGTACTCCATCTCATGTACAATTGAGAAAAGAAATATTTCCCCATGTTTTGTTTTGCCATGACTAAATTTTCTCAGTTGGTAATGTAACAGAACTATATCAAGAGCATAATTTAGTGTAATGATCTACTAGAATCAACTCTGTAGTAAGCTAGAAATACCAGGAACTGCAGGTGATGAAACACCAATGAGACAATTACTAATCCTTGATTGTTAACATTGGTCATATAAATACAGAAGCTGACACGTGTCACTATATTATTATGGTGCGAAGATACATATCAAAAGAGTGTTCATAAGCTTAATATTAGCAAAAGTGTCTGAGGAGTATCTGAAAAGGACAAATAATATCCAAATAAATACTATTGTTGTTCAATGAATAAGTTGCATTTAGTGTATAATCAAGAGGGTGGTGTAAGTGCAGACCATGTGGAGAATATATGCTCAAGTGAATGGGAATATTAGAGATTTGCTTTGTCTTCCCAGTTATTCGATCTGTTTCATCTGCGATCTCCTTACGGACAGCAGCTGCAAAAATAGCATTCTCATTATTTGTTAGTAATATAATCATCTGAATTTCAATACACAAGAACATAAAATGTAAATGATTAGTGATTAGTGATTAGTGATTAGTGAAAAGAAAATAACAAAAAATGGAGCAGCGGTCATATCGCAAAGTAAACAATGATTATATGGAGAAGAAAACATAAGGAACTGGAAAGGACTATGTCAGATAGGGAGATGAAAGAAAACAATTTCACCCAACAAGGAAATCGTTCAAATTTATTCCAATGCAAGCTGAATTTACCATTAGATAGGTACTTGTATGTTGTTGAACATGTTTATTAAGTGCATCAGTATTGGGATGACGATCAATCTCTGACTTAATACCCAAAATAAAGTAGAAAGTGAGGCATCCATTTATGAGTTGTAGTGAACGGTAGCTACCATGAGTAAGGTGCTTTGTGTATCTCATAAGTTAATGTTACCAAGCCAACACTTGTCATGGTTTGCACAAATCTAATCTAAAGGAGCCAAATCATAATGGCTTAAACTACTAAAGTTTATAGAAGATTCCAAATTAATGTCACTCCTTCATAGCTACAACTGGGGAGCTTCTTACTTAAAGGCATAGAATTGTTTCTCCAGATTTACTGGAAAACTTTTTTATAAATTATACACCAAACATTGAAAGGCAATGATATTTTTTTTCCTTTTATCAAATAGCCAGATAAAACAATGTGTGTCTCCTTACCGAGGCAAGCACTTCTCTGACTTTAAAAAGGGATGGAAAAAGAAGCTAGCTATCTATATACCATAATATAATATTTGACATATATCACTACATCTGTAGATAAGTCCAGAAGAACATAAACCTCATCCTCAGCCTATGTCCTACAAATCACTGGCAAGAACTCTGACTCAACATAAAACAAATCTTAAGCACTATTGTATCAAAGAAGTCATATTATTTCAGATGGAGCAATACGAACTCTTCATAAAACTTGTATTTATCAAGCTATCCAGTCCCAGATAGTACCTATAACCTATCCCATTCCCAAAAAAAGGATATAATTAATTTCATGTATGAATTACGAAAAACAACAACATAGACACCAGAAAAGAAATAAAAAATTTTGAGAAACTAGTAGATAACAAAGTCAAAAATTTAAATGACCGAGCATCATAATGGGCATACCAAAATCAGTGAATCTCTTCTTTGGTGCATGAAGAAACTCTGCATATTCACTCCCTGATTCTGTCTTATGAAGTTGCAACACCAATGGCCTCCTCGTAACAATGCCTTATAGTGCAAGAAAAACATAACAAGAACGAAGAAAAACAAAACTAGAATTTGAAAGGAACATGTTCTTTATATATATATACATATATATATATATATATATATA